CAGTTGTAATAAAGGACGAAGAAGCACGGTCGCGGAAAGAAATGGTCAAATGCGGAGACGGTCCATCGTCTTGAGAGACCCATACACTGCATGTTGAATATATATTTTCTTTGAAAATATTGTTTCATGACAAACAATACATAAAAGATACTCCGGAAACCTACCTTACCTCTTGGTTTGGTTCTTTTCAGCGGTAGTCTATCTCGCTTGAGCCTTTGATCCCATTTATTGCTTCACTTCAGTTTCTTGTCTTGTTTCACCTAAAGTTTTATCATTTTCTTGTTTAAAGTGTATTCTCAAATGTACCCTCTTTTTGAGGTTGAATAAAATGAATAATATATATATATATATATATATATATATATATAAAAGATATGTAACTGGGAGAATATTGATATTGAACTGAAATCTCAAGATTTATTGAAGTTTAGGAACTCATAGACATTTCCAGTATGTTGCCAAATCATTTATTGATTTGTACTCTTTTTTTTTTTTTTGTCTTTGCAATTTCATAACTTGGAGTGTTTTTGCTGTTGGAAAGAAAAAAAATACAATTGGTAAGTAGCTTTCTATTAATATGTGTGCTTCAATAGACAAATTTGTGTTGACTTATACAAATGTAAAATGATACCTCTCTCTGTCTTTAGCAGTAAAAACCTCTAAGCTAGTTGTGATGGGACAAAGAAAAGAAAACAGAAATAGAAGAAGACAAAGGTTAGTTTAGGTAACATCGTCATGGCGATTAGTTTTTTCTTTTCATAGCTATAGGTAAGTAAATGAAATTGCCATTAGAGTTGTTAAATTTTGTCACAATACATTATTTAAGATAACTAAACAAATAAACTATGCTTTGAAAATACATTCAAGACTATCTCATTATAAAATTTCGTCTACTAATTCAACATTTTATATTCTACTAATCCATTTAAAAAATACAGTCACAATGGGGGAAAATTCCATTGTGACTGTATTTGACTGGAAGTTTAATATCCAATGTTATTTGACTGAAAATAAAATGCATGTTTTATTAAATTTTTGTCTATTAATACATTAAGTATATAAAAATTTTCGAATCGAATAAACCGCTTAATTGGATTGACGGAATCACTAAACCGAGGTTGAGGAAATCACTAATCCCTAAACACATGGGTAACTTGGGGTTATCCAAAGACTGCATTGTCTTTTGCTATTACCTCAAATCGAATTGGGATCGATAAACCCTAAGTTTAGTGTAATTCCCTTAACCCCGGTTTAGTGATTCCGTCAATCCGATTATCGTTTGTTAAGCGGTTTCTTCGATTCGACAACTTTTATATACTTGATGTATTAATAGACCAAAATTTAATAAATCATGCATTTTGTTTCCGATCAAATAACATTGTATATTAAACTTCCAAATTAAAATTAGATGGGGAATTTTAATGGAATTTTCCCCAATTACTTCAACCAAACGAAATTAAAAAAAACTTATCAATAGCATTCTCACAATACATTATTTAAGATAACTAAACAAATAAACTATGCTTTGAAAATACACCCGCATGTACGTGCGGGTCATCATCTAGTTCTTATTTAAAGGATCCTTACGTTGTAGAATAGAGAGAATATTGATTATTGAATAAAAGAGTTTTAAGAGAGGTTTGTCTAAAGACTAGAGAGGAGGCCTCTCAACCCTAAAGAGCTTCTTGTGCGAAGCCTTGAGAAGAGGATTCTCGCCATATCCCTATTACTTATTCCTAAAGTTTTGACGTTCTAATCAAGATCCATTCGAGAATCTAAGTCCCCTTGAGATCTAGTGTTCTCGTCCGTTATTATAGCTTCCAGACTTCATCATACTCCCTCCTGTTCCCAACGGCGAGCCTTGCGAAATCACAAGTACCTTCCTTAATCATTATTCTCCGATCTGATCTGATGTTATAAACGATAGTGGTATACGATGAAGTCGATTTGAATTTTTTATGTTCGTGCGATGTGGTGATTTTGGTTTGCAGTTACATTTGCACAAGAGCGTGAACTAAGGCAAGTTTATAGTCGAAGTAGTGCATGATTATATGAAGTGTATTACACGAAAAAGCGGCGTCATGATAAGGAATATTTGAACTACTCCAACATAAGCACGTTTAACTGTGGAGTTGTCAAATGATGGGTGATCTTTCGGGAAGTGATTGTCGGAATTGTGTGAATAAAGCTAAAACATAGAGAAATATCATGTGGTGATTTGTAGGGTCGTCAAACAAGGATTTAAGCCTCCCGGATGTAACAAACCTACCGTCAGATATTGATGAGCTCATGGGTTTAGTGAAAGGCGTGAGATCCATTAAAAAGGTGGTTCCATGGGATGGTGGTGAACATGGGGTCCACTTAAGAGATGGCGGTAGGAGAGTTACATCAATAATTAAAATTTATATTTAATTTAATCTAGGATATATCAACATCCATATCAATAATAATATATGATATTTACGAAATATTTTTTTAAATTTTTTTGGTACTATTTAAATTTATTTATAGTAATTTTGAAATAAATTTCGTTTTTTTGTGAAAAAATAAATCATATAAATTATTATGAGATTATTTATGTGTTATCTATATATATATGTTTAAAAGTTACTCTTAAGATTTTTAAAATTTTTTGTTGTTAATAGATTAAATTACAGAGATATGAGAAGAGTTAATGAAATTATGGATTTTTGTGAATTAATTTTTTTATTGTTTAATATGTTAATTTTTATTTTTTTTAACACAATGTTTAATATGTTGATTTTTTTCTAAATTTAAAGACTAAATCAATTAATGTGAATGACAATTGTTTTCCAAAAATTGCTGCAAAAATGTTGTGGTAGATTTGAAAAATGTCATTAGTAAGAATACTTTATATTAAACTAGATTTTGTACCCGCGCGTTGCGCGGGATTTTCATTTAAAATATTTTATATGAATATAAACTTTGAGCATAATTATAATTATTCAAATTTTAAAGGACAAATCTTAGAAATTAAATATTAAACTTATTTTTAAGTAATATAGAACATATATATTGTTGACGGTTAACAAAGATCACCTGAGAAATTTGCGCGAATAATAAAGGACATTGACGACCAACTCATGATCCTTTATCACGAAAAGAGTTTATTTCTTATTCATATTCCATAAAAACATATCTTTCAAAAATTCCACGTTAATTATCGACAGGTGTTGACCTAATTGGATTTCATTTCTGACTAAATGATGATATGAATATCATACAGTTCTATATAAAATATGAATATACATAGCCTCAAAACACTATTTAATGTAAAGATACATATATAATATCATGTCAGAAGAATATGTTTAGCGAGTTTGCTTTATCCATCAAAGAAAGAGCATTGCGGTATTAGAGAATTCTCGATCAAGTCATGAATGTGCCTATTTTATCTCACTTTCTATAACTAACGGTTAAGCCTGACATTGAATCTAATAATGTATGTCTTGAATTTTTCTAAACATTATTTGTTTTAATTGTAAAGATACATATATAATATCATGTCAAAAGAATAGGTCATTTCTTTTAATTGCTTTTAACTACCAATTCATTTGTCATTTCATTTCTATGATGCATTTGTTGCCTCTCGACATCTAGTTTTGTTATTTCACCTTCTATTGACTCATATAATATAAATTGAAGTGTGAATTGATTTTCAAAACATATCACAACTTTTTCTTCCTTAATTATAGACTTTATCTTTTAGATATGCTACAAAAATTACATATCACTTCCCTTTTAACGACTTATATATATCACTTTCTATATATTTTATCGTAAAATTCAAGAATGATGTGATCATTATTTATTTATTATTCTATAAGATTAATGATAATGTTTTAATTTTTTTAATATAATTTCACGTCATAAAGTGTGACCTTTCAAATATCTCCGTCTTAAAGGGTTGTAAATTAAACTTAGTAATCTTTTGTTTTTCTTTAAAAGTAAAAACATACAATTACAAAAATGTTATATTATTCTACCATGCATTAAAAATATACTTCAAACTCACTAACACATTTTAAAATGTTATATTATTTTAAATGGTTTTTCTGTTAAGAGTTGGAATCATATTATTATTACAAATGCAATTTTCATAGTATTGGTTTTAAACTGTTACTATTTTTAGTTTTATTATATTTTATTTGTTTTGTTTTTTAATTTTTATTTATTACCATGAAAACAAATTCTATGTTAAAATTATGTAAAAATCGTTTTTTTATTTATCTATAATCTCTTTTTATTATTTACAAATAACATATTATGCATTAAATGAATATTTCATTTTTTATTTTAATATAAAATAAATAATATTGTTTATGTAGATGCTTAGGTGGACACTCTAAATGGAGAGATAACTCTCCTATTATATATATAGAATCTAAATATGATGTTACATACAAATAAAGTCATTTGTAAATAAGTTTATATAAACAACGCAAATAAACATAAAAAAATTAAAATAAATATAGCATCGTTAAGGAAAAAAACTAAAAATCTTTCAAATATGAATTATAAAAACTACATATTTTTGGAAAATATTTTAAAATTACTATATTACGAATTATATTGAACTTTTGTTATATTTAATTTAAGCTAAAAAAATATTTTCGAAAATATTTTATTCACCCTTATGTTTTAGACAATGAAATTGTTCAACGGCATAATACATTCACACATAAATTAAAAATTTCACAAATATAACATATTATAAAATCATGAATAAAAATATTTATTTAGTTAAACTCATAATCTATTTTATTTGTAAAATGTAAATCCTAATTCTCCTTTATGAACCCAAACTGATAAAATTAAAATTGACACGTGTCAACATCCTATCGTTTATAATTAACACATGTCACGATCTTGTTAATAGCTGACTTTGAAAACCAATCTTTATATAATAAGATATATATTTATAAATATCATTTATATCAATTCGGATCCATCAAATCAAAATCCAAAATCTTCTTAAATGTTAATAAACCCAAAATCTTCTCAAATCAAAGCCATGGATGCGAGCAACCACGACGACGAGTTCAATTCTACCACAAACTGGTATCTCGCCGTCGGTTCTCTCACAGTCTCCATCTCCTTTGAGTCCTCCTCCACCGCAAACCAAGAATCTGACGACGGAATCATCTCCGCCGCCGCCGATCATGTAACCAAGTCCCCGTTACTTCTACTCCCTCCTGTTCCCAACGGCGAGCCTTGCGAAATCACAAGTACCTTGCTTGATCCTTATCCTCCGATCCAATCTGATGATATAAACCTTTAATTGAAGTAGATCGATAGTGGTATACGGTGAAATCGATTGTAATTTTTGATGTTCGTGCGATGTGGTGATTTTGGTTTTTCAGTTACATTTGCACAAGAGTATGAACTAAGGCAAGTTTATATACGAAGTAGTGCACGAGTATATGAAGTGTATTACACGAAAAAGCGGCGTCAGGATAAGGAATACTTGTGTACAGTTCGATGTGGTGTTGCTGTGAGAGATGAAGAAGTGCTTCAGGTCTCTTATACTGACTCTGATGCTTCTAAGAGTTTGGTGGAGAGGAAGGTGAAAGATAATGGTAATGTACGGTCGAGCGAAGATGATTGGGTTGAAGTGAAAGCTGGTGATGATTCTCTGTTGAATAATGAGAAAGATCTGCTTCTATTGTCACAATTAGGGAAACAGGTAATGAGTTTAAGGACTCTCTCATCAAATTATGGACTAATATCTCTATAGAAAATAAAATGATATACAAGTGCAACTAATGAATATACAACATGTGTGCATACCATGTATGTTTTATGTATATGCCTGTCTATACCCAAGGATCGATGGTAAGAGAGTTAAATGTAGGGTTTGCGATCAGTCTAGAGACAAGGATGAAAATATCTCAAAGGTTTGGTATGGTGGTAGTTGAAACGCGTAACTGAGTGAGATAGAGCACGTGAGATCGGAGCTGATCTCACACCGCCTTGGTTGGGCCTATGTTGTGGAACAATGTGTCTTTCAATGCGTTTCTTTTTGTATTGGTTTGCACATAGGAGTGAGAGTACTGTCACTGCTACCTAGTCAAATTACTAAGATAGTAATGCAATTTTGGCATTTTTTAATTAGCCATATAAGTAATTCAGATGGCTGTACTTTTTGGTGTAATATCGCCAAGTGAATTAGTTATAGAACTAAAACGTCCCACGTTATTTATTTCGAGGTTTATGTGCGATGTGTATCTTGTATCAGACATGATAACAAGGACACACAGACTTGTTAAATTCAGGTGGTTGGCGTAATTGAAATATAATTTCACACGGTTTTAGTCTTGTTGCTCTCATAGATCAAATTATGGAGGAATGATGAATATTAGAGATGTATTTGTTGTTGTTCTGTTTGTTGTTATCTTGTTCTTTTAGTAATGGTTGATGTTGATGGAAAAATGTTTTTTCAGGATTTTTATGAAGCTACTGCGGAGATTAATGATGTCGATCCATGTACTTCGATTACACTCCGTCTTCTTTCGCTTCAGGATAAAAGATGTGCACTTGTTGATGAAGTTTATGTGTTTGCTGATCCTGTTGATTCAAGTGAGTCAGAGCAGGAAGAAGCGAGTGGAGCTGGAAATTCATCCAGTAGTTCGTTGATGGCTATGTTTATGCCTGCTCTTTTGCAGCTATCTCGAGGAAAAGATGTCAGAAGAGAACGGGATAGAGAAGTTTCTGGCAAGTCCAATATCACTAACCCAGGAACTTTAGGAAACTCAAATGACTCGGATGGGATCGTGAAAGGAATTCACCAGGAGAAAATTTCCAGTAAAGCTGATCTAATAGGAGTGAGCCCACCGGTTTTAGTTGATACTCTTTCAAAGCGGGTTGATTTTGCAACGCGAGTATCTGGAGAAGAAATGAAACCTGCTACATCGTGCAGTAATATGGAGACTATCTTGGGTGATCTTGTTAACAAGGTAAGCAGAATAGAAACTATCTTGACAAGATTTGAAGATCAGATGTTGAAACCAATCAATAGTATTGATGCAAGGCTTCACCTAGTAGAGAAGAAACTCGAACAGCTAGGAAAGAAATCATTTGAGTCTGAATTGGTTTGTCAAAAGAAAATACCCAATCCAGATACTCTGGGCTGTGATGGAGATAAAATTTCCGATACCGATGAGTTGGATGGATTGACTAAAAGCACTGAGAATCCACAGTTGGTCTCATGTACAAAAATAGTTATCCCTGAATCCTCTATTGAAGATTGTGCTGTTGTACTACCGAAGAACAGGCTGGAAGAACTGGAGAGTGAAAATAACTCAATCTCGGGAAATGAGGTGATTTCTACTGAACCTGAGACCAGTAGTGAGGAGGGTAGTCATTCTTTTGAAGAGAAACCAAAACGTTCATTGTCTATAAATGACGCTTTAGCATCTGCACTTGCTGGATTTTTGTCTTCACATTCGATCACGGATGGAAAATACAGCCAAGCCTTCGCAGTCACAGCACCTGAATTTTCAAATGAAGACGATATGGAAATAGAAGATAAACCTCGGACTGGTGGCCATCCAGACAAAAGCCAAGTTGCAGAAAACATATACTCTGCCTCGGAGAGCGCAACTTCTTCACAGAAAGTCCCTGGAATTACTCCATGTATTGAAGACAATTCTCAGGAAACGATTTATGGAGATTTTAAAAAACGAGATGATAGTTTTGGAGGAGATAAGGAAGCTAAGACAGTGGTTAGCGTCAGGGACAATGCTTTAGATGAAGATATGTTTACATCAAGCACAAAAGCTGATTGTTACACAGAAAAGGATTCTGATTCCTTGATTCACGAGCTCGAGAATTCAAATCTAACTACTACAAAATGCAAAGGAGAGCCCGAAATGGATGATGTCTTTAAGAGTGTTGTCGGTCTGCAACCAACTACATCTTCAATTAATTTTCTAACTTCAGTCCTGGATGTGAAATTTAGTTCAGAGAATCAAGACTCTGATAGCAAAAGTTTCTTCGAGGCACTCTTCACAGAAGAATCTAAGACTGATGTAGATTGCAAGAACAAAGCTTTTGATGATAACTTGGTCTCAGTGGAAGAAGAAGAAGAAGAACTCAAAGGACCACCAACAGATACCCTTTCGTCTGTGGAGATGGATCACTATGAGACGAACGAGATACATCTACACGTTAATGATGAAACCTCAGAAGCAAGTCTGATATAACGGAGAAACTAAATGCCATGTTGAGTCTGTGGAAGGTAGATTGGTAGTGTTGCAAGCCTTAATGATACTAGCGATTATGCTGGTTGTTATTTAGAAAGAAGATATTTTACTGTACATAGAATTTGAAACCTTGTGAAATTTCTAATTATAATCTGTTGGATCAGAACACTATCACAACTCCTCTCTCTTCTCTCACACATACCGTTTAGAGAGATAAACAATTTACATCCGCCGACTAGAATTTTCCCTGTGAACAGCCGTCCCAATAGTTTTGGGCTTTTGTCCGGCATGTTCTGCATCTATTAGCAGAGATGGCCGGTTTGCGTCCGGCAACGTCTGACTTATATTAGCAGAGTTGGCCGGTCTCGTTTCGTCTTTGCCGTAAATCGGTTTTTTCCGATTTCTTTAATGTTTTATATTACAATAATTGCATTTGATATGAGTTTGTGATTATCTATTCATGATAGATTTCTCCAATTTGTCTCTTTTGCACTTGCTAGTTAGTGAAATAAATTCAATTTCCTAGAGGTTGAAAATATTTTACTTTAAAGCTTGATTTGCAGAACAGTTCAAAGTATTGCATCTTGGGTAGAAGGATCGAAGGATATTTACAATTCCATTATGTTGTAGCTTTCTATGGGAGGTCAATTCAGATCAATACGGTAACTCAAAAAATGAAAGTTTTGTTCGATTGTTCATCGGCGATGCTTTCGTTACCGGAATTGGTGCTCAACAGCAATGGTTGATGCCAGTAGACTTCTTGATGACTCATAACATGTATTGCAGTAGTAATCTCATTTTGACACGTGACTTCGATAGAGTCTAAACGATAAAACTCTTTTTTTGCTTTTGATGTAAATTTGGTAAGCTCTTGATGGGCTTCACTCTCTTGTTTCTGCAAAATGTGTGGGCTGTTAGGCCTTGTAAGATGTAATCTTTGGGTTGTTCAATAATATATATACTCTTGAGAAAAATAAATCTGTTGGATCAAAACAAAATTAGTTTATAACACATATGAGAATATTTCAAAATTTAATATTCAATTTTATTATATAAAATTTGGTTTTTAAAGTTAGTCATTACCAGGATCATGACACGTGTCAAGTATACCACTGAGATGTTGACATGTTAAGTATACCACTGAGATGTTGACATGTGTCAAAAAATAAAAACGAAAAAATTATCTTTTTAAATATCTTATTTCATAAAGCTTGATTTTCAAAATTTGTCATTAGCATGATCATATATTTGTATTACGTGTTAGGTCTATCGATCAAATGTTAACACGAGTAAAAAAAAGTTAGTTATTTTCCTTAAACAAATAGGAAAAGTAATTTAAAATATATCTTACTATATAAATCTTTGTTTCAAACTTAGTAATTAATATGATCCCGACACGTGTCAAGTATATTGATTAGATGTTGGCATGTGTAAAAAGTTTAACTTTTTTATCTAACAAAGTAGAAAAAAAATTATATATATAATTTACATATTTATATTTAGAAGTTCTTTTTTATTTTAGTTTCTAAACCAACAAAGAAAACTAACAAAAACAAATATATTTGCATATGCTTATGGGTGTTCTCAATAAGATTTTGACATATATCAAAAATAAAAATTAGCATAAATATTAACCTTTAAATAATGAATAATGAAGTTCAAAATAACAACATAAGTTGGTTAATGTTAGTTAAATTAAATAGAAATTTTATTTATTTTATCAATTATTGTAAGTAAAAACATATCAAGTTGTAAAAATAATGAATTTATTAATACTAAATGAGAATATTAGTATAGTTTTACATTTCTTTTTATATAAATTTAATTTTTTTTTTTGGGCAAACCAATGAGATTCAATAAATAGTAAGGGTCAATACATAAATGGAGCAGAGCCTCTTTAATTAACTCAGGCTGGCGATTACGACAGACTTAGATGATAGGCTGAGGATATCGTGGTTACCTAGGTAACCTGATTCAATTTCAATTTAAAGGTATAAACACCCATGATTTTTCAAAAATTAGTTTAGGTTTTAGTATTTTTTTTTAATGTGGACCCTCTTCCTAATATAGTTTTGACCGCCATCAAATATTAATCCAAATAAAGTCGAATAAAAAAATAAAACTATATAAAAGTTATATCTTATTCGGTTTGGTTATGGATCACTTTTTGGTTTTACAAGATATAACAGTTTTCTAAAAAAAAGAAATTATATGTAAATCAGTTTTGTTTTGGCTTGATTCCAGTTTTTGTTTATTCCATGTTTTTTACAAAATGAAAAAAAACATATAAATTTAACATAATTCAAATATTATAATCTAAATCTTGTTTTGAATACCCAAAATCCCAAATAATTCAAATAATCATCCAATAAGGAAAACCTTAAGGAAATTATTTTTAACATAATATAAATATATATTATTATCCCAAATTTTCATCAAAACTTAAAAATATTCATTATTCATTTTTACGGATTTAACTAAACCAAACAAAACCAAAAAATCGAAAACTTAATAAAAATGACAACCAAATGGATATTTGAGTTAACCATAATATAATAAAATCAATTATTTTGATTTGGATTAGTATTTAGGGTTATGATTTTCTCGTCCACCACTATTTACTTTTATCTCGTAAAAATATTATCATAATTTGTTTTTTAAAATATTTTCCTTACAAATAATTTATGATTTGTTTAGTTACCATATCTATATATACATTTTTGAAGTACATTTGGTACTAAAATCTATTTAGGTTTATAATCTTTTATTTTATAATATTTGCATAATTAAACTCTTGCCAATTGAATAAATAACAAACCTTAAAAGTAAATTTTGTAATTAAATCACAAGTAAATCGTAAAATTAAAACAGATATTTATTACCTTAAAAAGATTTCCTAAAATGTTTTTCTCTAATAAATCGAATCTTTCCAATATATTTATATAATATTATTTGTTTCTAATTTATATTATTACATAAAATAAATTTATGATAAAAATACAAATTTTTTTCTACACATTTTGCAATTTAAATTTTTGAAAACGGATCTATATAACTCAAACGGTAAAGGAAAAAATATATGTACAACGTCTACATAAAGTAAAAGTTTTAGATAATAGTTCAAAACCATTATAAATAGTAATAATATGTTCACAACTACAAATGAACATGAACTTTGATTTCTCAGATATCCAAATTAAAATTTTATTCAGTTTAATCCGGTTCTTTATTTAAGAAAAATAAAACTTTTAAAAAGTTTCAAAATATTATAAAATTTGATTTTTTAAAAAGTTTAAAATATTAGAAATATTAAAACTTTTAAAAGCTGTAAATTATAATATTTAATTTTAAAGTTTTATAGAATACTAAAAATATTAAAAATATTTAAACTCTACAGAAATTTAAAATATTATTAATATTTTAACTCCAAAAATATTTAAAATATAATAACATTGTAAATATATATGATTGAACGGGTTTGAGTTTATATAAATTTGATTATATTTTTCTTACGGGTTGTCTATATTAAAATTGTTTTACGTGTTAAGTTATAATATAAACTTTTATTTACAATAAATCGTCCCGCGGTGTATATATGGTCAACCCGCGATACACTTTCCACACCGCGAGTTTTTTTTTGTGTGGAAAGTGTATCGCGGGTTGACCATATATATCTATGAGTCTACTTATTATACAAATTCATAAAATTATATAAAATTAAAAGAGAATTTTTGAGAAATACCCCTTTTGGTGTACCACTTTTTAAAAATACCCCTCTTTTCTATCCATTTTCAAAAATACCCCTTTTCAAATATGAAAAATTATAAACTTTTATATGGTCAATAAGGTACATCGAGGTCATCATTACTACTGGGAGACTAAATCCAAATATTTATAAGGTTTTAAAAAGTTCTAAATGGCATTTATAATGTTTTTATAAGGTTTTTAAAAGGTTTACACAGTTTTTATAAGGTTTTTAAATGGTTTTTAAAAGGTTTTTAAAAGGTATTTATACGTTATTTATGAAATATATATATAAATTTACACACATATAAAGATAATTTGTGTCTATAAATATAAGTTTACACATATGTTTTTGATAAATTTCAAATTTTACAGTGACTTTTTGATAAAACTAGAAAGAGGGGTATTTTTAAAAAGTGGTATTGGAAAAAGGGTATTTTTAAAATTCTCCCAAATTAGAATGATATAAACACATAAAACTATACTATATAAACCAACTATGAAAATGATCAATCAAACAAATATATTAAATTATGGATCCGTGGTGTACCACGGGGTAAATCCTAGTTATTTTACATACAGTAAAACCTCTATAAATTAATAATGACGGGACTAAGATAATTTATTAATTTATAATGATATTAATTTATCTATAAATTAATATTTATTATTTTATAATGTAAATTAATAATTCTTAATTTATAGTAGTATTTCTAGTTTTTCAAATTTTTAAAAAGTGATACAATTTTACAAAAAATAAGACTAATCTTTTCAATTTTATAAATTATACAGTAGTTTGAAAGTGAATACTATATTTAGGAAAAAAGAAATTTGACTATAAATACAGATATTATAGATAAATTCACTTACACAAATGATATATATAAATTCAAATGTATATTAATAACCTCAATTATTACATTTTAACATAGTATATATAAAAAAAATGAATATGATGCATATTTTTTTTTTTGGCAACAATATGATGCATATTTAAAAACTAAAAGCATAAAGAAAATTTGGTTATTTTTATGACTTGTGATGGTATATATTACAAGATTACTGTTTTAAAAAAATACTAACATAAACTTATTTATCGAGGTGAACTCTAGGAGAAAATTCAATTTTACAACAAAAAAAAATAAAAACATATATTAAGATATCTACTTATATGTATATATAGAGTGATTATTAATGTATTATATTATGAGGACTATATTTTACATAGGTATGTCAAAATAATTATTATCTTATTATCTTATCGAATTTCGTCAATTTTTACACTGGCCCGACTTGGGACCAGCAAAATTTGTTAAACTAAAATGGATACTAAGAGAAATGTATAAACCAATGCTTCCATAAATTTGATCGTGGTTTACATTTATAGTGTTTATTAATTTATAGAATATTAATTTATAGAGGTTTTA